TGTGTGCGCGTGCGGGCCAATGGGTGTCGGGCCTACATGTGAACTGGCTCGGCCAAGATAGATATGGTCATCAACTTGTTCGGCCGGCTGCGGCATCAAAGTCCCCACCACTTCAGTGAGTGAAGTGGGTCATCAAGATTGACTCCATAATGCAAGTTTTTGGAAAAAGGGAAATGAAATGGTCATGCAATGCTTTCATTTTCTCAAAGTTGGAAACTCTCCACCCGTCGAACTAGACTTAATTTGAAGAATCTAATTCAGCTAATAGCTACTCATTCATCCATTCATTCATTCTAGTAGTTGTACTACTCTTTTACTAAATCTATGATTATTACTCATAAGGGATACGCGTGAAACCATGTTCACCAAATCCGCGTCCGATATATATCCTAAATAAATCTTGTGCAATCCCTTCGAGGCTAAGTAATAATAATTTTAGAAACAAAGATAAGGATATGCCAGTAGTATGTGTGTTGAGTGTTAATTTGGAGGATCCAAATCGGGTAGCTACTCATTCATTCTGCTCTTTAATTTGTGCATGGCACCTCCTAATTATATCTTGTGCAATCCCTTGGATGCTAAGTAATAATAATTCTAGATAGTCCAAAGATAGAGATAGGATGCGCCAATATGTCATGACAATGTATATACAAATACAAAGGTAATAAGACCATTGACCCAACCGCGTTGCATGCATCCGCACCTAGAAAATGCATTGAATACTTCATATCCTATCAAACCAAAGACGCCGGGGCCACTTTCCAATCAGACATGACGGGCTGCGCCACACCACCCCGGTCGGTGCGCCCCCAGCCCGAGCCGCCTATTTATGCCGTCGCCACCGCCCACCGGCTTCCATCGACCACCGCGCCCGACCACAACCAACCAGATCATCGCCGCCTCGCCGGGCAACCAACACCAGCCTAGCAAGATGGGTTCGCGGTATGAGGTGGAGGTGACAGTGGGCACGGCCCGGGACCTCAAGAACGTCAACTGGCGCAACGGCGACCTCAAGCCCTACGCCGTGCTCCGGATCGACGCCGGCGCCCGCTGCTCCACCCGCGTCGACCTCGACAACAACGAGAACCCCGCCTGGGACGAGAAGGTCGTCGTCCCGCTGCCCCCCACCAGCCGCCTCCATGACGCCGTGCTCTACCTCGACGTCGTCCACGCCAACGCCGCCGAGGGCGTCAAGCCGCTCGTCGGCTCCGCCCGGCTCCCGCTCCGCGACGTCGTCGACGACGCCGGCGTCGGAGGCAAGGCGTCCAGGAACCTGAAGCTGAAGCGGCCGTCCGGTAGGGCCCAGGGGAAGCTTGACGTCCGCGTCGCCGTGAAGGAGCCGGCGAGGTACTACGAGTCCTACCCGGCGCCCGCGGGGTACGGCTCCTCCCAGCCCGCCGTCCCCTACGGCGGTGGATCCTCCCGTGATGCCTATGGTGGTGGGTACGGCGCTGGTGCTGGCGCGTACGGCGCCACGGCGGCGCCTCCGTCTGGGTACCCCGGCTACGGCTCCACGGAGCCGGCTCCCCAGGCTGCCGCACCGTACGGCTCTGCTCTGGGACGCGGATTTTTCGCACAGCTGCACCGGGGCCGCCCTATCGCAGCGGTCGAATCGTCCCACTTTCCCTCGAGATGACCGCCGCACGATATGGGATTAGTGTACGCATTACCGTGGCAGTCTCCTGTCACGGTTCCTGCCGCCGCAGGGGAACAGCTCCAGCGTGGCCTCTGCGATTTGTTTTTTCTACCCGTCCCATTGCATACCGACGCGGCCCGTGAGCACGGAAAAAACCACGCAACACACAGCGCACTGCCCGGTCTCCTTCATCTTCGCTCCAATGGATTGGGGGCAGGGACGCGATTCAATCTCGCCGGCGCTCGCCGCACCAGGCACCTCCCCGGCGGCCGGCTTCAGGTACGTATCCATACTGGATACTGGCTCGTCCTGGAGGCTTTAATATCAAGTTTCCCCAAGTGAGATTCTGAATCCCTTCTCCTTTCCGATTATGTGCCGGAGCTCAGATCCAACCAAGCCGCCGGCGGACCGTCCTCCGCAGCCAGGCAGATCGATGGAAAGTGTTCGGGGTCGGATCTATCGTGGTGTCCAGCCATCCAGGATATTGCGCGAGTCCCAGATGAAACAACATGCTCCAAGTAAGTTTATCCATCTATGGTGTGTTTGATCCAGAAAATCGCATTATTGAGCTCATGTATGTCCTCCCCCGCTCTATCTCTGCCCCCTCCCCCGCGGGCTAGGCTGCTGCTATTTTCGCTCCCTGTATCGGTGTCGAATATTGACCAGAGTCACGGGCCGTGTCCCATAGCTGTTTGTCTTTTTTCTGGCTGAAACAGTAGTTCCATCACGGGGGAACAGTGCCCACGCGTAACAGTCTCGTCCCGCTCGGGTCAATTACGGGAACGGCTGGCCCCAATCCCTAGGTATATGGATGGCCAGGATAGGCGGGCCGGGGCGCACCTGCTCTAAAATCTATTTTCGCTCTGCTCCACAGCCCTACGGCGCCGCACCGCCGACACAGGGAGCAGGCGCGTACGGCTCCTCTGCTCCGGCTTACGGCGCCGCGCAACCAGCTCAGGCGGCGGGGTACGGCACGACGGGGGTGGCCCTGGACCAGAGCGGCGGGAAGAAGAAGAAGGGGATGGGCATGGCTGGCGGGCTGGCGGTGGGCGCGGCGGCGGGCGTGCTTGGCGGGCTGGCGCTGGCGGGCGGGGCGCGCTACGTGGAGCACAAGATCGAGGACCGCGTGACCGAGCGCGTGGAGGAGGACATGTACGGCGGCGACTACTAGGCACATGGATGAATCTTTATGTTTTGGGTGCATGATGTTGAGGGTGAGGGTGACCGATCGGATCGGACCGGAGAGTTGACAGACAAGAAGAGATGTTATTTTCTTGTGCTGTCTGTGCGTATCATGAAAATGAAATTAAGATTGTTGATTGCATAAATTTAGCTAATCTCCATCCATGCATGCATGCATGTGGATGAGAATCAGGTTGAATGAATTTGTTCTTGTCTGCATTTGTGTAATTTGCAATGGCGGCTCCCACCACAAGTCTATGGTTTGTTGTTTGTTTCTTCTTTGCGTTCCACTTCCATGGGAGCAAGTTGATGACGACCGAGGAGAGTGACGCGACAAGGTGAGACTTTTTCTTAGGTGACCGTGCCTCCTAACGGAATTATTTTCTCGGAAATGAATGTATGTAAAACTCAAATACGTCTAGATATACACCCATTTCTTTGACAAATATGTCTGGACTGAGCGAATATGTGCAAACTCCTTTTTACCGGAGCTGGGATGTACTGGCATAGCATCCACCGTTCAGCTGCTTTGTGATCTGATTCTAAGTGGGACTGATTCATATGTATACCCATGTATTGTGGCAGCTAATCATTTGTATATGGCTAAATCAATGTCACATCAGTAGGCCCGATGACAGGAAAGGCAGTACTATTTGCAGTGGATTGTACGCATGCATGCGGCATCTCTCCTCTCTCTCTCTCTCAAACAAATTCATGCATTTTATTTTTGTTTACATTTTTAGATGGACAATATTTTTTACAATAATGTTCTATTATTCAAAAATTTCATATATTCAAATTTCGGAACATAAGATCTTTAGAATAAGACCAATCTTGAATATATTTAAACTAGTTTAATTTTTACTGTTTCAATCATATCAAATTACATTTTTTGAAAAAATGAAATCAGTTATTAAAATGATTGAAACCACTTTTCTGAATATAGTTTTCTCTGTGAGTTTCATATTTCAGCTTCTGAAACCGTGTCTTCAATGGGGTGATTGTAATGTATTTTTCTGAAACTAGTGAAATCTATCTTTTGTAGTGAGTGTAATCAGTTTTTTGGAATAAGTGAAATATTGTATTTCAATTGAGCGACTGTAATGTATTTTCTGAAATGAGTGAAATAAGTTAATTGAAAAAAGAGAAATATATCTTTTTGGTGTTTAACGACTATTTCAATGTTTGAAACAGATATCTCTGCCGAGTGAAATGCATTTCCATACTTTTTTGGTAAATGCGAAGTGAAATTAGTTTTTGAGATATATTTTGTAATGAGTGAAATCAGTTTTTCAAATCAGTGAATTGTAAATTTTCAATTTTTTGTAATACTTATTTTGGAACTAGTGAAATTATATTCTTTGAGATGAGTGAAACAATTTGGAAATATTAGTTTTTTTAAACAAGTAAAGTTTATTGTTGAAACAAGTGAAATCTAACGACTTCTTCAATGTTTGAAACAGATATCTCTGTTGAGTGAAATGCATTTCAATACTTTTTGGGTAAAAAAACTTAGTCGAGATTACATAAAGCTACCCAATAACCCTACTAAACACACAGGGACATGGCAACTATCATGGAAACTTTGAGGAGAAGCCCAAGAAGACTATACACTCGGCGTCGCTGCAGGAGCTTGTCCTGTAAAACCAGGCATCATGGATATCTCTGTTTCGGCACCAATGGTGGAGAAGGTCTCCTGGTACTGCCGATATACCGGCGGGTATGTTGCCTTTGGTCATTGGCGGCTCAAGCAGCTGAGGCTGCAGACGGCAGAGAGACAACAAGGACAACCCCCTTCGCTCAACATTCATGCGTGCCTTCTCCTGCTCAATTTAATGCAAGCTACGACTAAAGTAAATTTTTTTGAATGTTATATATCATGCCAAATTGTTTTTTCAGCATTCCCGTAATTTACAAGGAGCAGTCAAGTTTACACGGGAGATAGAGAAGCATATGGTTGTTGCCTTCTCTGTTTTGGAGTTACATCTCAAAACAAGCGGGCATGTTTATGGAGCATCGGTTTTTCATCTCTTTGGGATGGACCGAATTCGTAATGATGTGCAGAGGCTTAAAATCTTCCTACAGAGATCAACGGTAATTCTTTGCTCTGATTATATATCTCGCTTATGCATTATAATAAGTAATTCACATATAGACTATGGTTTTAGGGGGAAGATCGATGCCCACCATATTGTCCTTGTGAGTCCACAAACCGGAGATCTCAGACTATCTTCTTGACTGCTCTCGAAGAAGTGGAGATTTATGGATTCGAAGGACGCGAACACGAGATTAATTTCTTAAAACTGATATTTGAATGTGCCCCAATGCTTACAAGAATGATTGTGAAGCTGACACATGAGGCCTCTGCATCTGCAAGTACAATGGATGCACAAAAATATACAACATCTTCGGGGCCTATCCTTCTGTGGAATCATGTGTTTTATATTATTAACCCCGATGAGTATATGTTCTAGATAAAGACATGCCATTAATTTAAAAGGCATGATTGGGCATATGTATCTCAATTATTACCGCTGTATTTGTGTCTGCGCCCGCTAGTTTCTTGTCATAATGGAAGCTGAATGATCGAATTGGGCGATACAAAATTGAACCTTCTTATACAGGCTTCCTTAGCTTAGTTGCCCTTTCATTTGTGCAATATCTTGATTGTGCCCTTCTGTTTAGCATATACTATATCCATTGGAAAAAGACACTTTGTAAATTACCTACGGTTAGTTATGTCGTCTGAAATTCATTAGCCTGTGGGATTGGGCGTTTGGCACAAAGTTATTTAGTTCAAGTGTTATTTTCCAGTGACCACAGTGTTTACAAATATGGCGACTACTTTAGCATGTTACGATACTGTAGCAGCTGCTTGCCTTCTTCGCAGGGTTCATGCATGCCAACCAAGATTGTCCATGGACATGATTCTCATCCTCTAGTTTGTTGATTCATGATGTGCGTTGACATGACAACCAACTCCTTATGATTTGATTCGGTTTCAAGAATTTGTCTAGTTTGGTGCAAGCATTCAACAGAGCGATTGTTTTAGCAGTTAACTGCAGCTTTTTCGATAAATGGTAGATTTTTATTGACTCAAAATGAAGCATCAAGAGGATATAAGCACATTGAGTACACACCCAGTCTCTGCACACTTAGGAGCAAAAAGCCAACACTAACGCGCACACATAGAAAATAGGCCGGTAAAGCGCAAAGTCATACAAGACTAAAGCTAGCCTAAGCGAGCAAAAAAACCACGAAGCGATCAACAAACTACAACAAAGACCATATCTGCACAAACCATCTTTGACACCACAAGGACAGTGAGGTACTGCAACAATAACGCCTATATGAAGAGAACGACGCTCAAGCGCCACCGTCATCGGATCCAGCCACCAAGCCAAATCTAGGTTTTCGCCCTGAATAACATACCCAAGCGTATCCAAGCAATGCCTTCAACAAAGTAACAATGGAAAACATCACCGTTGCCAGGTATAACCAACTCGGGTCTACAGTTGTAGGCTAGTTATATTCAATTGTCTTTTATCGAAAAGTCAGAAGTTATATTCATTAGCTATGTCAGTCATGATCTGGGGGCTATTTTTGCGTCTTTGCTATGGAAGAAAGGAAAGGGAAAACATATGCTGATCAGAAATTAATGGATCGGCAACTCAGCTTCTTCCTCTTCCACAACGTCAATGGCGGCTGCACTGTTCTCGCTCCTCCCATTCCGGCCTCTACAGACACAACCCTCCTCCACTTCTCAGTCAGTCGCATGCCTCAACCAGCTCTGAGAGGTCCTCCACCAGGTGTACACCCGACAGGCTGCTCTCCAAGCAGATGAGGCAGCATGGTCCCGAGGGGCCTTACCTACACCTCATCGGCCGGAATAACTACCAAGTGGAGAAGCAACGCTACTCGGTCTCTTGTGACGAGGATCCTAATAGGAATTTAAAGAAGCATATAAGAAGCATCGCCACAAACCGCATCACCACACCACTCGCACTACCACCGCCGAGAGGGACATGAAACAAAACCACTATGTGAGCAGTTTCTTTCGGCCACACAGACTTTGACAAGAAACAAAAGCGAGTTTAATGGAGGTAGGCGGGCAGACCGATGCCGTGTAATTGGGGAGAGAATACATATGTAGCGGGCGGCGCGCCACTTCAATGTCGGCTCGAGTGAGAGGCCGCGTCCGCTCTGGACCGGCATGAATGTGGCACTGATGCTCTGGAGCCGAGCAACTGGCTTCGGGCAGAAAAGCGTGCAGGTGAGGGAGAAGGTTTTTGGGTGGGCCAGGGTTGCTGTGCTGGACACTTGCGTGGAAGCAGTTCGTACT